GGGAGAGCATGTGTGAGAGAACCCACACAGGCTTGAACTTTCAGAGGAAAAGGTCAATTTTTTTAGTAGGACGGAAAAACTAACAGCTTTTTATGCTGGTATCATGGCTAAGCAGAAGCAGATTCTACAAAACTCGAGTTTGCTGGGACACACAAGGGCTTGCAGCCAAAAAGGAATATAACAGCTGTAAGTGCAACCTTGCCTGGACATTTACACACAGTAGATCAGAGTCACGAGAACAATCAGCGGGTTTGGATTCCAGGTCTCCCCTTTCCATCGATTGCCCCTCATTTCATCATGAGCTTCCTCTATGAAATTATCTAAGAGACAGAGAGCTGCACCCATCCAGAATGAGGATGTGTGAGAAATCAAGCTTTCTCCAGAGTGGAGAAACAACGTGGAGGGAGGTTGGTAGGACCATTGTGGTACAACCTCTTCAACCAAAGTGCTGCTGCTCAGAGCTGTCTCAGATTTCATCTACCAACTCTGAGCCTTCCTGATTGCTTTGGAACCCTAAATGATCTTCTCTGCCTTGAAACACACTCAGTTTAGCCAACTGAATGGCCTCTATAGCACAATTTTGGCTTAGAAACTTTACTGACAAAATCTCCTCCTCCTTTTTTTCAGATTCTAGGTAGGGATTCCTCAGATTAATCATGTTGCTAATGGCACCTACATCTTCTGTCTTGGATACAAACTTTAATCCATTTTGCTTCTATAAAAGGTAAACAGATAAGACTTCACCTCTCTGACTAAACACGTACACTCACATTGGCTCTAAGTAGGCACCTTCATCTGGCAAGATCTGAGATACCCAGACACTAGACACCTTAGATAAACATCCCTCTCTTACCATTAGATGTCACATTACTCCAGAAATATGGGTCATTATTTTTGCCTTTTTTTGGCTCTAAAATAGATATTTTTGTGTTTTCTTCTTTTTACAGAAATGCGAAGTCTTATGATTATTGCAAAGAAGCTTATTTTATATACGCCTAGTTTTTCAGCATTCCAACACATTATGTAAGTGCTTTATAATTAAATAAAAAGGAAGAACAATCTCTGGGGGATTTGATCTGTAGAACAAAGATTTAGTAGTTCTGCTGTAAATTAGAATGTTCTACTGCTAGAGCATACCCTGGTCATTTTCCACCTGAGCTACTTCTCCATCATCTTCAACAACAGGGATAGTCTTAGCATTATAACCTGGCACAGATCCAGGCTGAGGTGGGGGGAAAAAAAGGAAAGGAAAAAAGACTCCCTTTAAGACGTGCAATTCAGTCTCTTCTAAACTGAACAATCCCAGATATCATGCACAGCTTAAAATGGGATTCTACTCTAAATGCCAATGAAATATAACTGGCAGGCAATGGAACAGATAATAAGTGATATACCCAGCACTTAAGCATATATTTGGACAACTTCCAGGTTGCCCAAGGAAGTTGTAGATGCCCCCTCCCTGGAAGTGTTTAAGGTCAAGCTGGATGAGGCTTTGAGCAACCTGGTCTAGTGGAAGGTGTCCCTGCTGATGGCAGGGGGGTTGGAACTGGATGAGCTTTAAGGTCCCTTCCAAGCCAAACCATTCTATGATGCTATGATTCTATATATTGATTTATGTGGAGCTCTTGTGGACCAGCACATTGAGATGCAGTGCTTTTCCTGTTGCCATGCTGCAGGCTCATCCCTGTACTCCACAGGCAGAGGTACCCTCCTTCCATGGAGAGGTTGAGCTGTGATCTCTGAACAAAGCAGCTCATTCACCGCAGAGCGTGGCACAGGACCATGAATCAGAAGCGTTACGTTACTGCTGTTAGATCCTTGTAATCGCAGTTTTTTGGCAATATTACTTGAAAACAGCTTTGTGAATACTGACAAACTGGAAGACACCCACATAATACTTCTGCATTGAAAGTACAAGTGATTTCCTACTGCAATAGTTTGGGACAACAAAATTAGCTAACAATAAAGTTAATTAGCACATGTCAAAACAGATGGACACAGATAGTGTAGTTCCTCACTATGTAAGATCAGAGATTTCAAGTAAATATTATTTTTCATATTTCAGATACTTCAGTTTCAAAAATATAAGAACTTGTTTCTATCACCAAATAAAAAACTGCTCTTGAAACTCCTAAGTTAGGTCCAGCCTCCAGTCAGTACCACCAATTAATTTTTTCCATCCTTGAGACAATATATCCAGGAAAGTAGGTAGATTATTTTTGAAAAAAAACAGTACTGCCATTTACATTACTCAGCTCTCTATTAGGCTTGCATTTAAAAGAATCTATAGCAAATGATACTGTGTACAAAGACCACTAAAAGTTAAAAGATTAGGTCAGAAATCTTCCAAGAACTGTGGAGTTTTTTTACAATGAATCTAGAGCAACGTGGAGTTTTTCACGATGCATCATCAACCTGTCCTTCCACCTAATGCTACTGTGAGCAATCATGAATATAACTGACAAGATTACTATTAAATGACTGAGCAGCTCATCATCTAACAGCTTAAACCTTTATAGAAAAAAAGAGACCCACCCGAAGCTGCACATATTCCAAAAAATTTCCCGCAGTTGTAACTTGTTAATTATTAAATGCGTCTGAAATAATTACAAAATACAAAGTAATTACAATTATTAAATGAGCCTGAAATAATAACAACAAGGTTGAATGAACTGCTTCAATATCAAATTTCAATATCTAACTAAAAATATACTTTCTGAAGGATGAAAGATGAAATGTTTCTCAAGAGACTTCATCACATGATTCATCCTTATCTTCATGGGGACACCTCTGCCTCTGGGCTCTAAGAATGTCCGTTACTCAAATCATATATGTTGGAATACATCCAAAACTAAATTAATATAGTGGATAACCAGACAAGTAAGAGAAATAAAAGCCAACTTGTTGAAGTTGAAATGCTGACACTATTCTGCATGTTCATCTTCATACTAGCTTTCAGGCTTTCCATTCAGGATATTGTTCTTTGATTTATTTTTTTTTTTTTATTCCAAACTAGGAGACAATCCAGAAATAGATATTTTGATTACTTCACTTTTTTTTTTTTTTTTTTTTTTTTTTAGGTAATAAATCTTAAGGGACAAATGTCTGGTAAACTTAAATGAGCTGGGAGGAAACGGCATAATGTAACGCTTATTCTTTAAGACAAATCTACTCATTTAAATAGTTATGCATAATCCACCATCATCTTGCAAAACATGCAAGTGAATCATGGAAGCATCAATATTTCTATTTTTCAGTGTAAAAGTGAAGCTGTTAGAAAAATATGGAGAAATTTATAGAACATTTTTATAGTCAGCAATAGTAAGTCCTGCCCAAAGCCTCAGCCACATGGCTATCACTTGTTTCCCAGACTGAGTCTCATCCATCTACTTCACAACTACATTCCAATTCCTCCCACACATTGACATAACTTTGAACCTGCACTTGTTGGGAGAAAGGAAAAATAGTGCAGAACTGGTCAGTCCAAAAAGTGATGACATTAATATCAATGCGGTTTCATGCAAACCAGTTTAAAGGATACTGTTTTTAAGTGTCCTGTAAGTGTTACTTTCACTTCACAGTTAATCATCCTGTAAGTGCACGCATGATTAATACTAGCAAGTCATTCCTTTACTGGTCTTTTTCTTCTTTTATTTACAGAATTATTTTTAAGAGAACAAAATCCATCTAAAGAAACAAAGAGTAATACTGTGCATTGTCTATGTGCCTTACTTGTTCTGCACTGACTCTACACACAAGGCAAAATATCAAGAACTAATGTGGTAGAAAAGAAGGGAACATGTGAATCTAAATAATCATTTCCTTTCATTTCAACATCTTCACAAAGTTATAAAACCATCAGCCATATATAAACATGAACAACAATAAGATTCTCATCCAATTAGGAACAACTGGTCCACTTTTAGTTAATTTTTTACATCAGATTGTTTATAAATACAGAAGGATGAAGATTCTTACATGGAAAAGAACTATCTCATTCTCTCAAGTAAAAACCTCCCAAACTCACTACAAACATTTACACAGAAATATGACTTTTATGCAAAACTTTTATGCAAAGTGTCCTCAAGTTTTCTCAATGCTTACTGCAAAGAGCTGGAAGAATCGCAGTGCAGAGAATTCACATCATTGCATAGAATTTTTTACTATATCCCTGCAGAACATATGCAACCAAGAAGGGAAATGGAAAGCAGGACTTAATGCAGAGTAATTCTTTCAGAGTCCTAAGTTTTATGTGAGCTGGCCTAGTTTTCCACATAAATTAAATACTATCAAATAATGCATTTGCATTCCTGAGTTAAATCAGTGCAGATGACTATACAGACCCTCCTGCTTCAAAAGGAATGCCTTTTGTTCATTCAACTTCAGGATATTCCTCTGGAACTTTAATTAACTTGAATTTACTTTTATCAAACTGGTTTTTCTTTTAATGGCAAAGCTCTCTATGTAAAAAAGGTCTTTAAAAAGCTTTTTTGTCAAGGGCCCTTAATGTCTGCCACTAGCCTTCATCCACTGCCACACACCAAACTCAGTGAGAGGAAATGCTTTTACAGATATGGATAGACAGTTTCTGCCACATATTCATTTAATTGCAGAGAAGCATCTTTCTTTATCTTCTGACCAATCATTCCTACTTGAAAACTGCTTTAGGCTGGTGCCAAAACAGCCTGCAAGAGCCAATTTGGCCAGGTACAAGGATGTATATGTAATCTGTTACAAACTGGCTGATGTATACTAATAAAGCATCTACCACTCTTTTACATTACTTATAAAATTTTCATTTTCAGAGCATATTTTGTAAATAGTTCAGCTTTTTCCTCATCTTTATTTTTTAAACAAAGGTGACTTTTAAAATCTCCCTGAAATGATACTCTCATCAGCCGTGTGGTCATATCTCATATAGAATCAGATTTAACATCTGTGCAAAATCTTGATTTAAACATGTATAACCTATTTTCAGTGTCTGTAAATATTTTGCTTACCAATATCAGCTTCCCTGTGATTCTTGATATATTCAGCAAGCTCAAAATTTCCCGCTATTATAGCCACCTAAAGGATTGTAAAATAGTTACAATTAATATATTGTCATCGCTTATTAAGTAGGAAAATACGCATGTTACATTACCGACAAACATCATACAAATATATTTTCATTTCACAAAGCAGAGTGACTGTTTATTACTCTTATTTTGCAACTACTAGACACAATACATTTCTGAAACAATGTTGAGAAATGACATCTCAATCTATTTGTAAGCAGCGCTGCCAGTCCCCCAGTTCCCTATTTACTAAGAACACTGCGATCGTGGATGTCTCGGGGGACCAGTAGAAGAGCTGTGGCTTTTCATGTTGTGGCAGTGAAAACCAGCAGTGAATATTAAACACACCATTCCCAAAGCTCTGGGAGCTATATGGATGTGTGGAGAATACTACAAGAGCAGGTTCACAGAGACAAATTGAAAATATTATTTCCCTTTAATTGCTCCTGCCTCCCTATTTACCTGAACAATGAAAACAGGAGCTACAACGCAACGTACATGGGATAACCAGGGAAGAAGTATCAAGAACTACAAGTATTCAAGTACCACTAAGACAACAAAAAAGACTAAAAAAAAAAAAAAAAAGAGAAACTGCTAAAGTTTATGCCCCTGTATAGAATTTAAAGTGTTTTAATAAATATAGTTTTAAAATAATAATTTTCTTTTTCATTTGTTTCCTGGTTGTTGACCACAGATGTGTAATTATCTATTCCAAATCCTCATCTAAAAGCACTTAAAAAGAGAAACATCTCCAGTGGATATGAGGAAAGTGATTTGGTTATGCCATTGATGTCTCCTCCCTTTTTCTTCTCCTCCTATTTTTGCCCTTAATATTCAGCAATTGCCTTTTCTGGTTCCATTTTGCAGCTTTCTACTATGACAGATACTGTTCCTCTGCTGGCACTGTGGCTTTCCTGAGGTAGGTAAAAGGGATATGTTGGTCTCACTCTTCTCATAGAAGCTTCTATATATACAGGGTACAGGCCAAAAATAAATAAACAAATAAATAAATAAAATCTTATTTAAGGACTGCCCTGAATAGAGGGCTACTGTCAGTCACAAGAAATGACTGAAAACTCAGGGAAATTTCTGAGCTGAGAAAGATTATCTTCTGGTTTGTACCACTCCACAAACCTCAGGGATTAAAAATACTGCCAAAGATGACTAAAGTGCTGAAATGATCTTAGGGAGGTGTGTGAAGTACATGAATGGGGGCAATATCTCTTCATGTAACAAGGGTAAGACCTTATTTCTGCACGCGCCACAGGAAACCAAATGGACAATTTTATTTACTAGCAACCAAAACAAACTAATTTGGAAATCATCAAAAATTAAGACTTTATACACAAGCAACAAACTACAGACAGAAAATCTTTCCTCTTATGTATTTAAGAGTTGCTAAATCTGCTTTAAATGGTAGATCAGAGCAGGCTTAGTGCATAAGCCATGACCTTTACATCCATTTCACCTGAAAATAAAATAATCACACATATTCTCGGCACTTTTCATTCAGCATTGATTATTTACACTCCTGAATAAAACTAGATGGGATTGCTGAAAGCCCAGTTATCTTTTCTCCCTTCTACAGTCCTCCTGGTGACTTCATTTTTAGGCCTTGCTTTAGACCCAAGACTCCCATTGAGTTAGACCTTATGCTTCAAGCCATTAGTCATTAATCCTTTCTATATGCAGCCCTGGAAATCCTTGAGGAAGGACTCAGATTGAAACAAGTGGTTTCAAACACAGAGAAGTAATCTCCAATTTATCTTTTGGTCCTAAGTAAGTAAGAGTTGGTCTAAAGAGAGACAGGTCAGTTTAGTTTAATTGTAAAGTCTCCTGGCTAGTTAAGTACAAGTAAGACTTTAAAGAAATCACTATATTTTAAGTATCATACCGTATCAAAATAACTTTTTTAGATTACCAAGCAAAGTTTAAAACAAACAACTGAACATCCCATTTATCACATTCATGCCCTGATTCCAGGTCTCCCCTGCATTTTTTTTATGCTTTTCAGGTTCTTTTTTTCTTGTCAAAATTGTTTCTTGTTTCATTAAAAATTTCTATCCAACACAAAGGCTAAATACAGTAATTATGTTTTCTTTTAGTTTCAAGTGTATCTATTTCAAGGTAGAAATTCTATTCCATGACTCTAGAGCACCCAGTGTTCATTCTCAACAGCGTATACTTGCATTTTAAAGTAATCCTCAGTAGGCAGCCATGAGCATGGCACGTGCAGTATAATTATTTTTGTCCTTTAAATAATTAACCCACATCTAATATCACCATACTAAGTAGTGATAATCATGTAATTATTTTCTCATTACAATATTAACAGTAAGGAAATGCTTTGCTTTGGGCACTTCTCAGATGTGTTACATCAAACGCTGATGGATTCTTGGGAGCAAAATGCATTACTATGAACCAATGATACTGGTTCAACTCAATCCTACTTCTGCTTTTAGACAGCAGTTGAAAAAATAAAGAATGTTTCTTCTCAGATATGTCATAAGAATTCTGCATGTTATAATATCTGCAAAGATCAGGGAGGTCAGAGACAGAGGTAGATTGTGCACTGCCACCCCATCATCCACACAGCCAATTCTCCATCCAAAGATTACTATTTTAACCATTAATAAGATCACTTTTATTCCAGGAACCACTTCCTGAAATAAACTGCTTCTCAGCACAGATAACAGCCCAGAATCTGGCCCTCAGCCTCCTCTGTACAGCTTCAAAGTGTAACTCATGACTCTCCCTGGCAAACAGCACTATGAAAGTAACAGCAGAGCTGTAAAAATACTGTCTCCTTCACTTCACATTCTGCAGCCTGGCTGGGTTCAGGTTCATAAAAGCAAGATATAGCTGTAGAATAGGAGTCTTCTCTACATTAGAAGCAAGGAACAATAACTCTCTTCGATATTACATCTTACTCACAAGGGCATGGAGCAATAGGACAATAGGTTTTACACTAGAAAAGGGGAGATTGAGGTTGGATAGTAGGAAAAAGTTCTTCAATATGAGGGTGGTAGATCATTGGAACAGGTTGCCCAGAGAGGTAGTGGAGACCTCATCCCTGGAGATATTCAAGGTCAGGTTTGATGGAGCTCTAAGCAACCTGCTCTAGTGAAGATGTCCCTGCTCACTACAGGGGGTTGGACTCAATGACCCTTGAAGGTCCCTTCCAACCCAAACCATTCAATGATTCTATGATTACCCCTAATTAGCATGGAAAATTCAACCAGGGAATTCACCAGTGACAGGCAGCTTGCTAGACAGCAGCCATGTTACTCAAATTAAATAATTTTTGATACAGAGTAGATTTTATAACTCGAGTATAAACATGCTGTTCAAGTGATAAACACATTTTATTACTTGAAAAAAGATACTGCCAGATAGCTAAGAGACAGCTTGACAGAGAATTGTCCCTGTGATTGCTTCTGAATCAAGCACTAGATTCTGCAAGCTCAAGGTATAATTTCTCTCAATTTAATCTACTTCAATTCACTAAAAGCAGTATGTAAAATTCTAACAGCAAAAATGAAGGAAAAATATGTTAAGATCTAAAGAAAGCAAGAAAAAGTTAAAAAGTACAAATACGTCTTGGCATAACATCAATGTACTTGAATTTGATCGGTGAAGAGTGGGAGAAAGTGAAGTCAGAGAAAAATCTGAGATACATAATTATACTCATTCAATTTTTACAGTTGCAAACTACAAAGCACAGCAACCACAGCCTATTTTCCATCAAAATTTATCTTGAATGAAAGTTATAGTTTGTTCAAATAAAACTACAAACATGAATGCACTCTAGGGTAACTGAATGGTCTCCATCAGACCATGGCTTGAACTAAATTAAAGTGGTGTAAATTCTCCCCTTGATTAAGATGAAAACTAAATCAGGACCTCACTGAAGTTCTACAATTGTACTACATTTCTTTGTACTTCAGAAAAAAAAGATAATAATGCAGTATCTTTGCAGAAAATAGGCTTCAGAATTTACATGTTTTTAAATAGCCATCGTTTGCTTTTCAAGACTTTCTGTAGTGAAGTGCTGGATTTCTAATTGAGAGGTTATGACAGGAAAGCAGGTTTTGTTTGCTTGTTGTTGTTTTTTTTTCCCTGCTCACAAGACATCTCTTCTTGGCAGTGAAAAGTGGCCCAGCCAGCAAAACTACAGTGAAAGTTTTTTTTCACTTCCAGTAAGAACTGGATTCCAGTCATCAAAATGCATCATGTGCATGTTTATAGACATGAAATATTACCATGAAAGGCTGGAGGTAGCACTTTACAACTACAGGCTATCTACAGACTCTGTTCTGCTGAAACTTCAAAAATTGCAGCTTTTCAAAAACTGCTTATACAGCAGCCTTACTGTAATTCTTTCATTCCTGCAGCAAAGGTCCTTTCATTTTTGTCCTTTTGCCACAGACAGGACACTTATCTGCATGTCCTTAGTCACATTATTCTGTAAACCTGATAAAATTTGTTTATGCATCTTCTTAAAAAAAAAAAAAATAATCTACAATTTCCATTAACACCTGTTTTGTTTGTTTTTTTTTTGCTCTACTTTTAAAGGGTAAATTTACTTTGCATCAGCTCCAGAATTGGAAAGATTGCACCTGCGGCATCACAGCACGGTATCAATCCAAGTCCAGCTGAAAAGCATGACTAAGTAGTTCAAGCCCAGTGCTTCCAGACCCAAACCAGGATCTTTACCTGCTGCACTGACATTTGGTTCATATCTCTGCATATATTCTGCTATACAATACAGAGAACAGAATCGCTCTTGGGGTTTTTTTTTTAATCATTATTAGAGGTAATTTTATGCGAATGATAGTAACCAAAGTGAATCATTTATCAGCTCCCTCCCCTTCAAGTTTAGTGGACCCCACTAAGGGAGTTAACACAGGCACCTAATTATTTTCAAATTATATTTGATAACATACATGACTGGCCTGAACAAGTACAGATGCTTACAACAGGGAAGTGAGCAGAAAGTAAAGCTAAGGA